CTATAATCACTCTCGTAGGAGAATTTTGCTTTCACCATACAAAATAAATAAGTTATCCAACATGTGCGCCTAATAGCTCCGCCCCTTCCACTACGTAAACAAACCTGCTGTCGTTGAGTGCGTGATATGTCCATCATTACACACTTAATTTTAGTGGCTGAATGAGTGCATCATCCGGGTAATTAAAGTGCACTTATTATTTTTTGTGATTTCAGTGTGAATGCACTACTTACACTATTTATACTACAGACAGAGGACAGAGTTTGGACACTCCTGAGATGGACAATGAAGAGGACACAGCTGAACCTCATGCCTGCTCTCTAAACTAAAATCTGACAAGTGTCTTTTACATATATTCTAAATAAACATGTGTAAGTAATGTGAATTGTCCATATATCTTTTGCAAGTTTGTTATTTGAGATGTAGAATGCAGTGAAAGCGGCAGCATAAAGACACTGCAGCGCTACTGAAGATTGTGGGTGTTTACAGCAGTTGGATGGATTAATATGAATTTGTAGCTAAATTGTTAACGGTGCCAAACAGCATTTTCTGTTGTTTACGTCCTCACTACTACACTGTTAATGCAAGAAACTGTGCATGTGATAGAGAAATTTTAACATAAAAATACAGGTTATGGCTCGCAATCCACAGCTTTGTCTATTATGGTTGGAGGTGCTCTTTCTTTTGAGGAGTTTTTAGCTGAATCCAGCACTGAACTGGGAGAGATTCTGGAGAAGCTGCCCTTTGTCAAATGATAGCTATATATTTTTTATAATTCCCTGAAACATATTTAAAATTAAACTCTAAGCACTTCTCTCTTTGTGCTGTGTCCTTGGGAAGCCCAAATACAGAAACAGAACAAGCTCTGAAAATAGCAGCATTTGGTCGGCATTTTAGCTTTCTCTCTTTATAACATTACAGTGGCTCTTGCCATGCCCCTTTGCTGCACTGGGTGTATGCACATTGTGAATGTGCATAGCCTGAAGCAATTGTGATCTCGCTAAACGGATGTATTTGTTGTAGTCCCCAAACTTTGTTCGCTGTAGGCTTTGCTAAGCTTATTCTGTAAAAGCCAATGATCCCTTTGCATTAAACTTTGAGTGTCTTACATTCAAAGATGTTGTTTATGTCCACACCACACAGCTACATTATACACAAACTAAAGTTTAAAATATGATATCATAGTGGACCACCGCTTTAACGCTTTTTGTTTATTTATAATCGTTGTGAAAAAAGTAGTTACAACGTAATTAACTATTTTTAGTTAGTAACTTGTATAGTATTTTTAAAAGATAGTTTGACAGTAGCTTAAACTAATTTAACTTACATTTTTAGCGTTAACTCAATAGTACGTTTCTGGAGGCCACAACTCTTCACAGTTTAGCTTTACCCATCATTAAGCACATCTAATAAAACAAATTAAGTCTTTAAGACTAGTTTGAATCCTACAGGTAAGTGTGTTGGAGCAGGTTTAAAACTAAACTCCTGGAGCAGAGCTTGACACTCCTTGTTTAATGATGGTATGTAGAGTGGATTCACTGAGATGCAAAAATAAGTAGGCCTATTTCTGGGAACCATTATCCTCCTGTGCATGCGCAGTTCATCCACTAGATGGCGAGCACTGGTGGCAGATAGTATCCAGTTTGCTAAGCTCTGCTGACAACGGCATCATACAGTTCAACGCATGTTCACCACAATTTTTTTATTGTGGCTCGTTCCAAAATACAGGTATTTTTTTTAACCACATGCACTAGTCTTCATATCTATAGAGAGAGATTGGGGTTATGTTATATGCCTATATCATGTTGTGCTGTGTTGTTTTGTGTTGTGCTAGCTGAAATAGCGATAATAGCCACTTAAAAAAGATAAACTTTTGTGTAAAGCTATTATTGTTTTATATTAATGTGTGTGCATTATTCCTATTAAATGAAAGTAGGCTATTTTAACCTTTTTTATTTATTAATTAAATTATCAAGCCTTTAATTCACTGGGGAATTCAGATAGAATGCACTCACAGTAACAGTTTACAAGCAGGGTAAGGCCGTACTCACACTAGGTACAGTTGCCTCGAACCGGGCCAAAGCACGCTTGTCCCCCCTCCCGTCTCCCCCGACGGCCCGCGCTCACACCATACCGGGCCACGGCACGCTTACGTCATCGCTGCTGCGCTGTTCAGAAGCGCTCTCTATGGCAAGCCTTTTTAGCATTTAAATCTTTGTTCTGACTCCATAAATATATTTAGAGATATCTCTAATTATATTTTGACTAGTCATACTTATAATTCGACTAGTCAGAATAACAATTATTCAAAAATATTTGCAGATATCTCTAAATGAGTTTTGACTCGTCACAATTGTAATTAGAGATATCTCTAACTGAGTTTTTACTAGTCATACAGATGTCTTTAATTCGTAATATTTAGAGATATTTACAAATATATTTGAAGATATCTCTAATTAATTTACTAATAGTCGAATTACAGTTGTAGATATCTTGAATTGGATTTTTGACGAGTCAAAACTCAGTTAGAGATATCTGCAAATATTTTTCAATGGAAGTCAATGGAGGAATATGACTAGTCATAATATATTTGCAGATATCTCCAATCTGATTTCGTACTAGTACAATTGTAATTGCAGATATCTCTAATTGTCATTCTGACAAGTCGAATTATAATAATGACTTGTCAAAATATATAATTATATCTCTAAATATATTTATGGATAGCCAGAACAAGGTTTAAATGTTAAAACGGCTTGCCATACGCTCTCATTTAGCAGCACAGTGGAGATTTCTCTAGTTATATCCTTTCAGTCGTTTGTTATGCAGTGACATGCAGTCAAATATTTCGCCAAACAGTCCTTAGGGATGCGGGGACACACAGTCAGATATTTTACCGAACAGATCCGCCACTTTTGGCGCTCATAAACAATCAAAGCTCTCGTGCTGCAGGAATGAGGAGGTCTGCTGAAGGCGCGCAGCTGACGTGCTGTGAGGAGTTTGCGTCTTTAATAAACTACGGCAGTTTGCGATCACTGAACAGTAAGAATGATTAATAAATCCATATCAAACAGTCCCTTAAAAGTCACGTCTCGCTTTCGGTTTCGGGCTTTGGCGCGTTTCGCGCTCACACACAAGCGTACCGCGCCAAAGCCCAAGTGTACCGCGCTCAGGCACACCTCTTCCAACCGGGCCAGGGCCGGCCAAGTGAACCGTGCTTGAGCCCGATTCAGCGCACTCACACTTCTCAAACGATCCGGGAAACGGGCCTGGGCACGGTACGGATGGCATAGTGTGAGTAGGCCCTAAGTCAGTCCTGCAGAAAACATACAAACTTGGCAACATATCTATTGAAAATCATTCATTTTGATTGTTAATGTATGATGATTTGTTAGTATATTGTTGTTTAGTGAAAACCATTACACCTTCTGTGTCTTTTTTTCTCAATGGTTTTTGGTTATTATGTAAAACATGGCCTCAGGCCTTTATCTTCAGAGAGAGAGAAATCTCCTCTCTCTCTCTCTCTCTTTCTCTCTCACTCTCTCTCTCCTCTCTCTCTCTCTCTCGCTTGCTCTCTCTCTCTTTCATTTTGAGAATGGGATTCTTCTCTCAGTGGCAACTGTTATTGTCTTCAGGATTTCCTCTCTCCGGGGCTTTTCTTCCCGTTTACTTCCTTTCATGCAGGCTCAGCTGTTTTTATCCTTTCCATAATTCATTAAAGAACTGCCATGTCAGATTTTATCCTAACAACGTCTAGGCAGAAAGGCCAACTCATCACCAAAATATCATATATTTTGCTTAATCTATCTTGAGATTTGAGAATCAGCTTTTTCAGTGTTGCAGCTGCTAAAATATTTTTGTCTAAAAAGCTAAATTATAGCCGTTCTTTTGTTTTTCTGTTTTTATTAATTTCCTTATTTATTTTTCTTTCTTTTTTTCATTTATTGATTTTTAAAGGTGGCGCAGTAGGTAGTGCTGTCGCCTTACAGCAAGCAGGCCGCTGGTTCAAGCCTCGACTGGGTCAGTTGGCGTTTCTGTGTGGAGTTTGCATGTACTCCCTGCGTTTACGTAGGTTTCCTCCGGGTGCTCTGGTTTCCCCTACAGTCCAAAGACAAGTGGTACAGGTGAATTGGGTTGGCTAAATTGTCTATAGTGTATGAGTGTGAATGAGTGTGTATGGATGTTTCCCAGAGATGGGTTGCTGCTGGAAGGGCATCCGCTGCGTAAAATATGTTCTGGATAAGTTGGCGGTTCATTCCGCTGCGGCGACCCTATTTTATTAAAGGGACTAAGCCGAAAAGAAAAATTAATGAATGAATATAATAATAATAATTATATATATATATATATATATATATATATATAACTTTTTGACTATATTTGTAATGTTTGGCTTTAAATTTTGCGCAAATTACTTAAAAAATTCTCAGAAAACTTTTTTTTTTTTTTAAATAAAGCATTACTTTTACATTAATGCTATATTATTTTTATTTTTTTATCATACTGTATGCTGCCATAGTGAGCAGAATAAACATCTTTCATTCCTACTACCAGAACCAGCTATACTGGCTTTTTATATTCTTTAAGAGAAAAGCTCTAATGGACAACATTTTATTTTATTTTATCACACCTTTATAAAATAAAACAAATATTTATTATAATGTTAATAATGTTTTTATTTTATATTACGCATATTCTATTTATGTGGGCAATGTTTTGGGGAACCACTGTGGTTTGTTGTACATGTCGTAGCTTTCTAATTTTCTTTTTGTATTGTAATCATTCCATTATTGGAACTTATTTCAAAATATTTTATGAATGAATTTTTAAAGATTTTTTATTTATTTTTTATTTATTTTATTTATTTATTTATTTGAAAACTCATGCCCCCAAGTAGTCCTGGCCCCATGATTGGGAACAACTGCGTTTATACGAATAATAGATTGGTGATTTTAGGACCCAGAGGAGGAGCAGCTCTTGTCCTCTCAACAGCGGTATTGATGTAGGTGTGTGTGCTGAGTGTTGGCCTGATTGAGCTCCAGTTGAGGATGCAGAGAGCAGCGGACGGTCACGCGTGTCTAGCATGCGCTCATACGCGGGTCTCATCTCATCATGACCGGGACTCACCCCAGCAGTAGCGACAGCCCTTGAATTATTCATTTCCTGGATTTTTGGACTACTGGTGCATTAATTTGTCATCATATGCATATTTTAAGAAGTATTTCCTCTGTAAAAAGTTGAAGAGAACTGCTTTCAGTCTTGCGTTTCACTGATGTCGTTAAATTTAAAAATGCATGCTGTTAGTTGAAAGTGCAAAAACGGAAGAAAGACACGACCGACAGCTGCTGAAATAGCACAAAAACAAGCGTATTTATTAAAGAACCAGCGCTATCACTTAAGGAAATAGACATGTCCAGCAGAAACATCGAGTGGGAGCACTTCGAGGAGCGCGAGAAGGGTCACCGGTCCCCGCGGGGCAGCGGCGGCTCCCATTCCGGCTCTCGGGGAAACGGGATCGTGCCGAGTCCCGCTCACAGCGCGCACTGTAGCTTTTACCGCACGCGCACACTGCAGTCGCTCACCTCGGAGAAGAAAGCGAAAAAAGTTCGCTTTTATCGGAATGGCGACAAGTATTTCAAGGGGCTTGTGTACGCCGTGTCCGGTGACCGCTTCAGGTCTTTCGACGCGCTGCTGATGGAGCTCACGCGCTCCCTCTCGGACAATGTCAATTTACCGCAGGGAGTCCGGAGCATCTACACTGCAGATGGAGGAAAGAAGATCACCAGTCTGGATGACTTGGTAGAAGGTGAGGTTGATTAAAGTGGAAGGCAGACACTTTTGATTGTTATCCCCATGTGCCATCCAATCAAGCTCTGTTGGCATTATCATACTTATAGTTACGGTCAACTGTAATATCAGCGTAGTTAACCCTTCCAAGACACACACTATATTTTCAGTTCAGAGTGCAAGTTGTGATAGTTGGAATGTTAATAAAATAACATACAACCAATTTAAAAACACATTATATAATTATATAATCAAACATTACATAAAACAAACAAACAAGATAACTTGAAGTCATTTAAGGTCACAGGCTTAACTGAGGAGCATTTCTTTCACTGAACACTATGTTGTTTTAATGGATAAGAAAGTCAAAAACCACAATGGATCATCTTATTTTGGAAAAGGGCATGTCATTGTATGTGCAATGAATAAACTAATAAATAAATTAAATAAAAAAACATGAAACCAAGTAAACAAAGACAGGGATGTAATTTTTGGTGAACTATTTTTTATGCAAAGCCAGCGTTCAATCATATTTTAAATAAATGTAAATTTATTCCAAAACCTAATAAATATATATATATATATATATATATATATATATATATATATATATATATATATATATATATATATATATATATATATTTATAAATAATAATAATAAAAATACACACACACACACACACATATATATATATATGGCTGATTCCAGCGTTATGGACGTGACATTTGCAGTAAAAAAATGAAACGTATATTCTCAGAGAAGGTATATGTTAACAGTATATTGAAATATATGTTTATATTTTTCTTACCCCTTAACCATGGAGTTCAGGCATCAAAAAAATATCAGTCTATGCAGGCGTTTTATATTTAAAATGACGGCAAAATGAATGCGTTACGGACGTGACAAAAAAAAAGACATGAGTTTTGTGAGTTGACATACTTTGTGAAAATTCTGTGAATGAAAATGCAGAAGCCAAAAAAATATATAACAGTCAAAAGGATAAGGGTTGGCTCTGCATGGGACATATATAATTAATTTTATTTAGTTTTTCATTTTTGCATTAATAAGGAAAAACTATCGTTACGGACGTGACTTGTCTTCGTTACGGACGTGACTGCTCTGAAATTGACAGTTGACACATTATGAAAATCAGATAAATGCTTTCAAAACTTGACCAAAGACCTATTTGTGGATATCTGTTGGGTGTGTAAACCAATAAACTTTAACCTCTGAGACATCTGAATGGTAAGGTTGCACAATTAATCAAACTTAAATAGATATCACCTTGTTATATTTAATTCGTATTATGGCATGTGTGTTGTTAAAGGTTAACGCACGTTCGAATGTTCAAAACTCAATTCGGTAACAATGTTGCATGCTAACATGGTGCTTTTATACTCTGAATAATATAGAATTTATAATAAACATAATCAGCTATAATGGGCCTATGTTTAGCAGGCTCCTAAAGTTAGTGTTTCCAGACAAACTTGAATTAAATTGCCCGACTGTTGCGCAAGACCTTGTCTACATGGAGAATATTTAAAATCTAGTTTTGTTACAGATATGGCAATATTATATTTGACAAAGTTTATTTTAGTTTATTCTAGTTAACGTGTTAGTTGATGGAATAAATAATTTAATTTCTCCACTCGCGCTTGCTTTCTTTTTCTCGTCGGCAGTCACTTCAGGACAGGTTGCAAAAAGTTCATACGCACCAGGGTGAGAGAGAAAACTTTATAACTTAAGAAAGGTTTTGTGTAGGCTATGTTAAACAAGCAGAAAAATAGTCATTGGTTGTAGGCATGTACGATGGATGACTATGTTTATATTTTTAGGCTATAGTTCATAACCGATTGTGTAAAATATTGAATTAAATATTTACAGCTGCAGGTCCTATCGATTTTCTAACAAATTTAATACTCATATAATGTAGTTAAAGCTTAGATCAATATCAAGATTTTATTCTTATGCTTATTAAAATAATTTTAATAAGCACTCAAGCGCATTTGCCGGGTGCTGGAAATCTTTGAAAATGTTTCAATTTTAATGTAGGCTATAGCCAATTTTCAAGCTTTGAAAGTGCTTAGATTTTGGGTAAAGGGCTTGGAAAATGAATTGTGTCGCTTTGATAATTTATCTTTATAAATAGTTATTTAATTAATGAAATAAAAAACATATTTATGCTCTGCATGAAACGAAAACTCCGCTGTGGCCTGACCCGCGGCGTGCGCATTTTGAGCAGTGGGAAAAGACCAAATGCATGGAGGTTATTGATTATGCGCCTTGCGCGCCTCGCGTTTTGTCATTGCGCGCTTTGAGCGCTCCAGAAGAAAAGCATGTTACCTCAGTGGCGTCTTTCATTCTTCAATCAAACGAAAGCAGAGGCGGGGTTTCCTTGGAGGTGACAGCAGTGTCAAGATGACTACGGCGAACTTTTTAATGACGGAGAGACTTGTGGTCGTTGTTTTAAGTCATCCAAAGTTGTATGACTTTACAAATCTTGAATTTCATAATGTTATTTAAAAATTTAAATTATGAAAACATTGACAGCAACACTCGCGCACAATAGACCAGCTGATTCAGTTGTTATCTATAGTGACATTCAAAAGAGCACCGTGCTCCTTTTCTTCTTGTCAACATAAAATGCATTGCGGAGCGCCTCACGTCTCTGGAATGAAGAAGCGCGTTCGTTGTGATCGGCTTTTATGAGCAACACATATTTGTTAACTCGCATGACAGTAACAAGTGCAAACACACGTGCTTACATATGTTTTTTGCCAAAAAAGGAAAATGAAAGAAGGATATTCTGGCCACAGTTTGACACAGGAGTTGACGAACCAGCGCTGATCCTGGTCGTCTGTGCTGCCTGGAGCCGCGTCATAAACTAAACTAGGCATATTCATGATTTAGTGCAGACTACAATCAACAAACCACCCTTTTTTCAATTTGGAAAAAAACAGCTATTAATAGTTCTTATATACATTTTAAATAGCCTAATCTACAAATCAAACAAAGACAAATATTTTATAACTTCGCACCAAACTGATGCTTTTATTTTACAGCTTATAAAACATGTCTGCAAATTAATGCAGTATCACATGTAAATAACAAAATTGTTATATGCTTAGCCTATACTTTACAAAATGTATAGGTTCAAAGCCTTGGTTCATTGTCATTATCTTTCACTATAGGCAGCGCGTGCGCACATGAACCGCAAGTAAGACGGAGGAAATAGGTTAAGTCATTATGGCCAATTATGGCAATATGTAAAATGTTGTTTTCTTATTAAACATTTATTTCTGAAATGTTACTAAAGTGGTTTATAGTTAAATGAAATGTTCAGTTCTTGATATAACATATGGATGTTATGTAATGTAAGTCAGTAATTGTAATGCAGCATCTTAATGAACAAATATGCGCTATAGTCATTGGCTTATATTAATAAGGAGTTCAAAAATGGTCACGTCCGTAACGCAAAATTGTGGTTGTTTAGAGCAAAGACCTGAGATGAATTGGCGATCATAATTAGTATGGACATATTTTGGCTTTGTATGCAAAGTTTCATTTTATTTGTTATAATATTTATTCCACAGTATAAACTTTTTCATTAAATCGTTACGGACGTGACACGTGACCGAAGCTGCGTGATGTCTTAAATATGTAGCTCATAAATCAAAAGGGCAGTAATTTTATGAAAAAGTAAGGGTAATTATTTATACTACAGACTCCAATCCTTCTGCAGAATGATTACTGTTAACATAAAGCATGGAAAAGGTGAGTCTTTAATCCCTTATTCTAAAGCACGAAATGTGGTTGGATTATAATGAAATTTACCATTGGCACAATCCTCATATTTCATGGATAAACAAACCAATTTCATTAAAAATTTAACAAGAGCACATCATTACAATAAAATATAGACCTTAATGAGCAAATTTAAATAGGTTTTGTTATTTTGGTCAAAAGTTTATTTTTTCATGATAAGGTTGACATTTTCATGGAATTGCTCATATATATATATATATATATATATATATATATATATATATATATATATATATATATATATGTATTTTTTATTATTAATTATTTTTTTACATGTAAAGCTATAGGAACTCAGTGACAATTTTGCTAGTAAATTTAAAGGGATGTGACAATTATGTTTACTTCCGTGCACATCTCTTCCATTCTATAAAACATGAAATAAATTCCTTTAATATTCAAGCTGCAAAGAAAAGTGTCTTGTACATTCATGATATTTTTTTTTTATTGAGTAATGCTATGCTTTCTGTCAACATGATACCAGTGAATTGCAGTGCTTGTGCAAACATATCCATATCATTAAGATCAGATGCTTTCTTAACTGCTGTTTTCTTATTGTCGCTTGCTTTGGTTTGTTATGGAGAAGAGGGCATCTCATATTTACATATTTATGTAAAGGTCACTCTTAATATGTGCATGATTATTTGTTGATGTACATGCTCATTTAGCCTGATCCCATGAGGAAACGTTTAAGATTTGTCAGTGTAGTGGCTAATTCATACGAATTCATCATACAAAAATGTACTATTTTAAAAAGGAGGCCTGGCACCCTACCACGCCCCTAAATCCAACCATCATTGGGGGATAAGAAAATCGTACTAAATTGTACGAATGAGATTGTACGATTCATACGAATCAATCACCATTTCAAAAAGTTACGAATTATCATGAGATTTTGTTGGATGGGCGCAGGTGGCGCAGTGGGTAGCACAATCGCCTCACAGCAAGAAAGTCGCTGGTTCAAACCTCGGCTGGATCAGTTGGCATTTGTGTGTGGAGTTTGCATGGTCTCCCCGTGTTTGCATGGGTTTCCTCTGGGTGCTCCTGTTTCTCCTATAAGTCCAAAGACATGCCCTATAGGTGTATTGGGTAAGCTAAATTGTCCAAAGTTGGGTATATATGTTATTCAGTGATGAGTTGCAGCTGGAAGGGCATCCGCTGTGTATAACATGCTGGATAAGTTGGTGGTTCAT